GGGAAAGGTGCCATTATCGTTCCACCGCTGTGTCACTTGGTAAAGGGGAATGGTGTGTCGACGTCAGCTTCCGGTGATATTAAAACGGGAACAAAAAAAGCACTCCGACAGAATCAGAGGGGGGACGTTCAGCTTGCGTGATCCCAGCCAACTGGGCGGCAGTGTGGAGCTGCAGCGGGAAAATACAGAGGCTTTGTTCCCCCTCGCGACCAAAATCCCGCTAATTAGCGCTGGCCGAGCAGGGCAGCTTCACAATTGTCACGTGAAGGAAGCGCGTGCAGGGTCCAGGACGTCCGTCTGGTCTTTGCCAAGCGTGAGTCGGATGGAAAAGCAGAGAATGTGTAAAGAATTGTTCTTGGAGAGGGGTGGGGGAGCTGGGAGCTGGAGTCGCCTTTCAGCTTGTTTTGGTCGCTTTAATCACCGTGGAAAACCTGACCTGCACATTCACACGAAGAACGCAGATCTCGGACCGTTAATCAGTATTTATAACGTAGCGAACGTGTGTCGGCTGAATTGTAAGGGTGTGTGACTCTAGCATGTATCAGCAGGGATAAATGGTACCATTATTGTGTTACTAGTCAGTAATTTACTGTTGTTCACCACAATGCTGGACACAGAAAGGGGTTTTTCTGCTTTTCAGTATTGTCAACTGTCTTCCCTCTGAGTTGTAATACTTTTAACCCAGAACACACGCTTTCTCCTATGCATCATAGTGTTTATATCAAGCAGACTGTCACATCTAGTAAAAACAAGATACCTTTAATGAGTGTGTTTATTTTTTTCCAGAACACTTTATTGATTTATGTAGTTTTAATGTGGATTTCATTAAAGCAGTTTGAAAAAGACAGAGGAATTCCTGGAATACAGTCCGTAGCGAGGGTGTCTAACTGATATTAATAGGGTAATAATGAGTTAAAGCTAATAAATAAACAGCTATATCAGGTTACTCTGGAGAGAAATAGAAGAACAAACAGGACCATGTTTCACTCTGCGTGGAGGGAACACCGCTCCAAAAGGACAGCCACAGTCTTCAACTTAAAGGTCACCACTATATAATTGCAGTGGGCCCTTAGATAATTGCCTTTGTGCCTCTTGTGTTAAAAAAAACCTGAAACATTTACTGGTTTGCATAATAATTCTCTGAGCCACAAAACATTATCACAACTGCAAGTAATATAAAATGATTAGCCTGCTTCGGTTAAGCAATAAAAAAACGGGTTTCCTTTGTGAAGATCGGTGCTTTTATGTGTAATGCATTTCTGGGCTTGAAAACATTTCACTGGCTAATTTGTGGCTCAATGCAGAACCACGGTACATTTTAGAAACGGAACAGTAGCTTTTCTTAAGAGTCTGTACTGTGTCAGCTCTTGAATGTTGGGTGCGTGTGAATTAGGTAGACTGTGCAAAAAATTAGTATTACAACAAAGGCCTTAGCTGGAAAACATAACGAAGGGTTAGGGAGAGTCTTCAGATTTCATAACCACTTGTAATAAGCTGAACATGTTCCGGATCGTTCCATTTTCACTGATTTCCCTCATGTCTGACAGGAAAGGATGCTCCAAATCAGGGGTCAACAATTATTTTGAAGCACAAAAACTTACATAAGCCCAATGTTATTATACAACAAAAGAGCACTTATAAAGGCCACAGACCAGCGCCTGCTTGGGTCAAGAGAGTTTACCCACCTGCCAAAGAGGGGCTGATGGGATTGTCTTGCTTCACGCAGTGACTGGTCCGTTCAGCGCACTTCCCGAGCCTATCAGATCCAGACAGAGCTGGGATTACGGCCCGTTTGACGTCGGGCTGCATGGTCGGAACCTGAGAGCCGTAATCCCGCAGCTGAGTGGATCATCTGTAGCAGCTGTGCGTACTTATAACCAGCAGCATAAAAGTATTATGAGATACCGGAAGTAAGAGTGGTGTGTGGCTTTGTGCAGACAGTGACTGGTTCCTGTAACTGGCAGTAATTTCACCGTTGGGCCCTAATCTCCAGGGATTGTGGTCTCTAATCCTCACTTGTATGTTGCTTTGCCTACTAAATAAATAAGTGTAAATGTGGTGACTGAGTGGGCAGTACTGTAGCCTCACACCCCCACCGTCGGGGGTTCAAAGCCCCGCTCTTCTGTATGTCCTCTCTCCCCTCCCCTCCCCTCCCCAATGTAATAAAATCAGTAACTTTTTACCTTGTAGGGACATTTTTTTTCAGTCCCCACAACCTCATTTTTATAAAAATCTGTGAATGGAATCAAAAAGCAAAAAAATTCCAAATTATTGTATTTTGTTTGGTTACTTATGGTTAAGGTTAGTGCTGGGTAGGGGTTAAGATAGTCGTTTTTGGGATTAGAGTTTTTCCCATAGAAACTAATCTAGAGTCTCCTCAAAGATATGAATACATGGACTCTGTGTGTGTGTGTGTGTTTGTGTGTGTGTGTATGTGTGTGTCTGATGGACTAGCAGCCTGTCCATAGTGTCCCCTACGTTGTGCCCTCTGCTTCCTGGGATAAACTCCAGGCTCACCCTGTACCAGATAAGCAGCTATGGAAAATGGATGGATGGATGGATGGAACAGCATATGGTCTTATCATTGCTTCTTTTCCAAGTGAAGCTCCCCCAACATGCTCCTATGCATGTGTCTGCTTGCATTGGCAGAACGGCTGCTGAGTTTGCTATTAGAAAGGCACTGCACTAGTCTTCCTGAACAGGAACTGATCCACGGGGTACGGCTGAGGACGGCCGGGAACAATATTCGGGCTCAGTCCGTGGTGAACGAGTCATCTTTTGACATCCGTGATTTCTCACTCTTGCAGAAGTCATAATCTACACAAATTCTAAACAATTTCCTTAATGGTACATTTTCAGGCTAATTTTATCACAAAGGTCACCAAATAAATCATCCCAATCGATTAGTATACACTGACATTTTTCAAATTTAGCACTAAAGAGAAAACGGGTAGAGGCAGTGGGACGCTGTGGTGACATTTGGGGCTCAAACGGCAAACAGGGTGCAGTGGGGTCCTTCTCACGGTCTGCGGTCCTGCGCCGTTAATATTAGCATATGTATTGTAGCATAGATCTTAAGTGACAAGGCCACTGCTTTCCGTTTAAATGGCTCTGAATTGGGTTGAGATGTCTTTTGTGTAGAAGATGCGCATTCCCCTCCCCCCCCTACACCCACACACACACCACGTCCACAAAGGATGGATTTGTCTTTAAAATGTAGCAGTCTTTGGAAAAACCTTAACTCCGTCAGTGCCTCTCATGTATAAGTACTGACCTCTCCATCCAGTATAAAATATAATGAAAACCAACAGCCAGCAGGCCTTATTACTATCAATTAATTAAGATCAATTTTGATAACAACACCTATTAGTACAAATATTACTAGTAATAAGTACCACTGCTGTTTAATACTAATCCTACTACTAATAAGAGTATTAGTTTATAATTGCATATATACCTTTTAATAACGTGCAAAAGATGTCTGAAATAAATCATAATTGGCATTATTTTCCAGACCTCTATGTAAAAATAATATAAAGGGCACTCTTTGTGCAAGCAGTTGGAAATTTGTCCAAAAATAAACATGGTATTAAAAAAACACACACACAGCCCGTTAAACGTCGGTTCTGCTCTAGAAAATAACGCTTTCTTCGTTTCATTTTCCCTCACAGCTACAGATGTGTATCCATTAAAAGGCACTTTTCTGCAATCTTGTATTTTCGTTTGGTTTCATTTTTGGGTTTCAGCTCTGTTGTTCATTGTCGGGGCCCCAGAATATCTCGCATTCGCTGTTCTAGACACATTTCCTTAAATGTGTTCAGTGATACCGGTTCCTTATTTAGTGTTTCTTCAGATCAGATGCGTTGTCACTCGGCTGCCTACTGTCTAACTGAATAAACGTCCTGAGGAAATGAGCACAATTTCAAATCCACAATTACCTGTAAATCCTTTCAAGCGGATGAGCGCTGGGTGGGGGTGCCGTGGGGGGTTGGGTGCAAGAAAGAAAGCAAAGAAAAAAACTGCGTCCATGTCATCTGGCTTCTGTCTGTTATTTACCACCGATTCGTTTCAGAAGCTCTCATTTCTGCATTAATCAAGTGCATTTCATGCGACTGCCTGCCGACGTCCGTGTTTGCTCGCAGTAATTGGTTGAACGATGACAGTGTTTTAGCAGCATGTCCGGGCACGCGGCAGCCTACGCGGGCGTCTGGGCTCTCAGTGCAACTGCTTCACTTACCCCTTTTTTCCTTCTTATAAAGATATAGGTCTCTCTCTGATTGATGCAAGTAAACACAACTTGGTTTATGTTCATAGTATCATTAAATCATATAGTCTGTTTTGGAATGGACTTATTCTGTATTCTCAGTGTCTTCGGTGGAAGCCGAAACAACTAAACAGAAATGCATTGTTGGTTTTTAACGAAAAATCTGGGAATGATAATTTAATCGATCCTGGATACTTTACAAATAATATGTTTCTTAATATCGAAATAATTGGCAAAACATAATGGCAGCAAATCAATGTAGTATTTATGTCCTGTATTAAAATAAGCAGCTTATATTCGGCTAATACCAATATATAATTAGTTCAAATGTATTTCTGCCCTGAGGTTATTAACTTGTACTGGTCTTAATGTTTGTATGAAATACAGCTATAGTGTGCACTGGGCATAATATGATTTGAAGGAAAAAACCGCGAGGCAAGCGTGGCGACTTCATAGCCCGAGGTTGATCTCGACACAAATAGAGAACTGAACCAATGCCCCCACCCCGTCCCACCACCGCCCCCATAAGCGGCTGGTCGGCTTTAATGAACAATGAATTAAGGCCTCCGATTACTGCGCGACTAGACAACAAAGGAGAGACGCGAATTTAAGGCAGCGAGCCCTCGAGGCCCCGCCCCACGTCCGCCGCTGGCCAATGGGCCGCTGGTATGCAAATAGGGCGCAGCGCCGCACCGTCCCGTCCCAGCCCCTGACGTCACCCGCGCATATCCCTCGGCAGCGCTGTCTGGCTGCGGCGAGTCAGACGGGCGAACAGAAAAGCGCTGAGTGAGCCGGGGAGGGGCGCCTCGGAAGGACACCGCCACCACCGGCATCCCACCAATTTTAAGTCCTCGACCAGCGATCCGCACGTCCGCAGAAATTTGGGAGCGGGCTTCCGAGACCGTCCGCCTTATTTATTATTTATTTTTTTGCTGGGGTGGGGGAAACTGGATTGCACTGACTGCTGAGTGCCAGGAGAGAGGCACTGATTTGTACGACCGGTTTGAATACGGTCCCCCCCCCCCCCCCACCCACCCCGGGCTGCCTTACCAGTCCTACCCTCCTTCTTTAGTTTTTTTCCTTCTCCAACCCCTCTTTGTCTGAGACTGCAGAAATATCTCAAGATGCCAAGCTCGCTTTTCGCCGACATGGAGCGGAGTGGTGGCAATCAGGGGGACGCCCTGGATGACCAAAGAGCCCTGCAGATAGCACTGGACCAGCTCTCCCTGCTCGGCTTGGACAGCGATGACAGCTCCCTGTATGACAGCGAGCCGAGAAAGAAGAGCGTCAACATGACCGAGTGCGTCCCGGTTCCCAGTTCGGAGCACGTAGCCGAGATCGTGGGCAGGCAAGGTGCGTGCATGGATTGATTTAAATTACGCGTCTACTTTTGGTCGTCATTTTGCTTTTGATTTCCTTATTTTCGGTGCAAGGCTTTGGAGGTGTAATAGTGAGCGTGCAGACGCCTGAATTTATGCAGGGTGGGAGCCCTCGGTGAGCGCCGCACTCCGCAAACACAAAGGCTTTTGCGGAAGCTGCAGGCGGGGCGGCGAGATGCCACCCAAAATCCGCAGTTTCTGAATGTTTTGCCGCCCCGTTTTATACATCTTAATCATAGCAGCAGGGATGGGGCTCCCCGAAGCCTTGTTGGGCTTTGTTGTTTTCTTCGCTCTGCACGCACCGCGCATGAAGCCGCATTATATTCAGTGAGTGCAGTTTTAATGCGGTTTTAAACGCCATCCCAGCTCACCTGAGACAAGTACCTGTTTTTTTTTTTGTCACGGTGGTCACGTAGATGATGGTAGTGACCCGCGGAGAGATGGGTTTTCCCCTCTTGTTTTCGGAGAAGTGAGGGTGAATCGGGCTGCTGTACGGCCAGATACTGGAGCATGTGGTTTTAATTTGCCCTGTGCAAATATGTGCGAATTAGCAAATCTGTACAAGGGGTCTAACTCTCCCCTTTCGTCAGCACTGTTTACTTCAATTTCAGCGGTATGTATTGTGTTCACCAGTAATCTTACGGGATATGTTTTCCTTACTTATTTTTTTAAACATAGGTTGTAAAATCAAAGCACTGAGAGCAAAGACCAACACCTATATCAAGACTCCAGTCCGCGGGGAGGAACCAGTCTTTGTTGTGACAGGCAGGAGAGAAGATGTAGCGATGGCCAGAAGGGAGATCATCTCTGCTGCAGAGCACTTCTCCATGATCCGGGCGTCCCGGAACAAGAACAGCAGCATGAACGGAGGCGGCACGGTTCCGGGACCGCCCAACCTGCCGGGCCAGACCACCATCCAGGTGCGGGTTCCCTACCGGGTGGTGGGACTGGTGGTGGGACCCAAGGGGGCCACCATTAAGCGCATCCAGCAGCAGACGCACACCTACATCGTGACTCCGAGCCGCGACAAGGAGCCGGTCTTCGAGGTGACGGGCATGCCGGAGAACGTGGACCGGGCACGGGAGGAGATCGAGGCCCACATCGCCGTGCGCACCGGCGGTCTGGTCGAGCTCGCTGAAGACAACGACTTCCACGCCAACGGCACCGATGTGGGGTTCGAGCTGCACGGCCACACCAGCCTCTGGAGTAAGGCCACCCCCGGCGTGACCCCCACCCCCGGCGTGACCCCCACCTCCGGCCGCAAACCCTTCTCCAACTACCGCAACGACAGCTCCAGCTCCTTGGGGAGTGCCTCCACGGACTCCTACTTTGGGAACGGCGGCGGTGGCTCCAGGTTGGCCGACTACAGCCCCCCGAGCCCAGCCCTGAGCTACAGCGCCTCCAACAATGGCAACAACAACAACAACAATAACAACAACAACAACAATGCCAACATCACCACCAATGGATTTGTCTATGGGAGTGATGTCATTTCCCCTGATTGCACTGACCTGTCTTACGAGTCGCCTTCGGCCTTCGACCCCACGCCTACACCGCCAGGTCTGATCTGGTCCGGGTTCGACCGCAGCGTGGCCCCTGGGGGAGGCTCTGCCCCCGCCGTCTTCACCAGTGGCACTTCTGCCAACGCCAATGGGATACCAGGGAGCCAACGGAGGGGCAACGGTGGGGCGGCCCAACCCCGGCTATCCCCGCCTCTGCATCATGTTGGTGGGGGGGCGGATCATCCCCTGGCCCGTCGTGTGCGCAGCGACCCCGGGGGAGGAGCTATGAGCTTCCCCGCCTACTCCAGCCCCGGCCTCTCCAACGGCCTGGCCTGCCTCGCTGGCGGCCACCTGCCGGGGCTGCCCTCAGACTCCTCGTCCTCCTCCTCCTCCTCCAGCTCCTCGTCGGGCACCAGCCGCAAGGGCAGCCGGGACTGCTCCGTGTGCTTCGAGAGTGAGGTCATCGCCGCCCTCGTGCCCTGCGGCCACAACCTCTTCTGCATGGAATGCGCCAACCGCATCTGCGAGAGGAACGAGGCCAAGTGTCCAGTCTGCCACTCCGCGGTCACTCAGGCCATCCGCATCTTCTCCTAAGACGCGTCGCTGCGGCGACAGCAGGTGCCCTCGTGTATGTATAGGTGTATGTGTGAATGTATACATGTATTGTGCACGTGCATACAGGCCTGGGGTGTCCCTGGAGCTGCAGTGTCGCGTGTCCCGTAGCTTAAGAAAAACTAGCAAATGGAGGCCCTAGTTTGTCAGATTGAGCGGAGTCTGCAAGTACCTTTAAGAGGTCTTGCTGCCACTCAAGGTACGCGTCGTGGGGGGGGGGGGGGGGGGGGGGGAGTGACTGTGAAGACGCAGCGATCCTGCAGCTTAAAGAAAGCAGGGAGAATACATGTATGACACGGGATGTGCACACGCAAAAACATACAAGAGAATAATTCCATATTAATTACATTAATAAAGATCAAAGTATTTTATTCTTTTTTTTTTTGACTTGAAAAGATTATATTTCGTATCGCAAAGATGTTTACAGATATTTTAATTTAAGTTCAGTGAACTTTTTTTGTAGCGGAGTTCATTTTAGTACAGCCTTATGGCGACTAACACTGTATTATTTTAATATTACGCCGCTGTGAGCGGAGTCACACACTGCAGTGTGTGTGCGTGTCACATCAGAACAGTATTCTGCTGGGTCGGAGGTTTTACATGTTCAGCAAAAAAAAGTCTTTTAACCCTCTGTGCCCAGCGTATTTTCTATTCAGTAATAAAAAGCCTATTTTATTCTATAGTATTACAAAACACAAAATGTATAAAACATTAAGTCGGACGGAAAAGGAACGTTTATGCTTTCTAAAAATTTGTATGAATTAGATTCCAGTGGAAGTTACAGGATTCTGTTCCACCGCTATAGTTTAGTACTTCTATTTTAATACATTTCTTTATTACTTGTTTATGTATATGTAGGTGAAGTTACTTGAGCATAAATGTACTTTATTGAGCAAAGTTTAAAAAAAACAAAGTATATTTTATTTTATGATAAAGGGCCTTTAACCTCATGGTCAAATCCTAATATTATATTTGCTGAAACAAGATTTGAAAATGTATCAAGAGTTTTATTTTTCTGACATTTAAGGTTCTACATGATAAAGGTAAAACTTAAGGTGCTACTTTGTGTTTTTTAAGTATTTCTATATAAATAAAATAAAATGGTACATGAAATAAGTGTGCTTTTCTTATTGGAGGGTTGCTGTTTTAAAACCACTTATTTATCTGACTATAGCTGATGCTGCCTTTTGAAAGAAAGCTGTGTGTTTTGTGGTCTTTTGACTGGCTGCTCTGTGGTCATAGTGGTGTCGCTCACCTAAAGTCTCTCCAGACGGAGGCAGAGGCCCACATGATTCTCAGTGCTGTTGGGGAAGGGGACGAGCGCACGTTGGTGACCCCCGCTGACCCCCACCGGCCTTCCACAGCTTCTGAGCTGAAGCTGACATCGCAGGCTGGCTTTTTCCCAAAGACGCCGTCCTGCGGGCCTCATGACCTGCGTTCCTCATAAAATACTCCAGTTGTCTTCTTGCAGAGCGTACTTTTAATTTGCCAACTTCCGGTGTAAGAGTTCAGTCTCTCGCAGTCTGAAAGTGATCAGTAGCATCCCAGGAAGTGCAGGAGGGTGACCCAGGGAGCCGACCCCCCCTCCCCCCAGTGTTCGGTGGCGGCTGATTGGATGGCAGCAGAGGTTGGGCGTGTTTTCGCCACTGTGATGCGGGAGGAAACCTGAGCGGCCAGGCAGACGCTCTGAGGCTGCGAGTCGCGCGCTGCTCTGTCCATTCATTAAATGTGATTTGTGTAAAGTCCAGGGAAAGTATGAATGATGCCTTTTGTGTGGCGGCAAGTGTCTTTGTAGTGTGTCGCTTCGCACGAGGCTTGTGTGCTTATTGGAGATAAAGGGCAGTAAAATGCAAGAAAGCCCACTGATGCTTTTAGACAGCAGCCTTCAGGCTCTGCATTGAGATCATGACCTGGAATCGGGAGGAATCCGGGGTAACGTACGGCAGCTCCTCCACCGGAGAGGGGTGAATCGGCAGGGCCTGCGGGCCACTCGTCATCTGCTGTAAGACACAGCCGGTTGGCTATGATGTGTCTCTACACCAGACTGTACGCTAAGTTAAAATTGGAGCCCATTCTGTGTCGGGGCGCGTTGCATGGCTTTGGCCAGGAGGAGGTGCTCTCACACATAGACACGGGGGGGGGGGTGGTTGATATAAGCATATATGGCTTACATGCTGTTTGTAGGAGCCCCCTACTGATTTATTTGCAGAAGGACCGAAATGAAGCAGTGATACCTGTGAAGGGAATGAACCAGCAGCTTTGTACTGTTTCTGTGTTCCCCATTGGGATTGGGGTTTGTTTATTTGCCTGATTTCACCCCTGGGGGGTCATATTATTAAGCTTATTTTGTCGCCTAGCCAACATTTTTTCTATACCCAAAATAACTTATTCTTTTATACAGGAGTGATTAAGCACAAGTAGCTTCCTCAATACTACCCGGGCCAAGCTGTCCTGGGATTTCATCATGGACTGACCTATATTTTGTCCCTTTAACCATTGCACCACCTGCTGGCATGTAGAGAGTTAGCACTTTGTGTGATGAAAGGCCGTGAGATTTAGCAGTCAGGGGTTCCCCACCCTTGAAGAGTAAGCTGGCGGACTCACTGGCTGAATGTATTGGGGGGGGGTCTTTGCCTCTAATATACTGGGGGAGCGTGTTTGTTTGGCTGCAGGTCAGCTAAATGGGATCATGCTGTTGGTGGTGGGTCCGTGGGTATGGTAGTGGCTGCTTCCCCGTTAAGGCAGGGTCTCCTTCAGAAAACCTTGGTGTGGGGGGCGGGGGGCAGTCGGCGGGGGTCAAGAAACTACCAGTCTCACTTCAATTTCGATCTCTACATGAAAGGATAAGGTATAACGTCCCACCCAGCTCATTTGGCTTTAAGTGAATGTACACTGAAATATAAAGAATGAGTCTCTTCAAAGCCAAACATGACCGTGATGGCGTCCACGTCTGACCCGGGCCCGTGTGGCTCGGATGAGAGTCACTTAAACCAGTCTGCCGTCCTGCTTCTCGTTTTTGCTAAAAGCGAGAACGGTCCAAACAGAAACGCTCCAAACAGTCAGAAACGCTCCAAATAGTCAAAAACGCTCCAAAGACAAATGCCGACTCTGGCTGATTCATCTTCACAGCTCTGGTTTATTCCCACTACATACCTTTTGATATTCAGTAAATTACATTAGCTGTGTTCACCAGCAGACAGCTTAGTGATTATGTTTATATGTGGGATATGCCATCCATTCTGTAGTTTTAAAAGGGTAAAATACAGCATTACCAAGATGGTGAATCCCCCAGTCACCTTCCAGACAGCTTATCCAGTTCAGGGTGGCAGTGAGCCTAGAAATGTATCCCAGAATGCACAGGGCAACAGATACCCAGGATGGGATGCCAGTCCATAGCACTACAGGTGTTGTATGCTTTTTTCATTATCTTGAATTTTTTTTTTTTTTACAGTAGTACAGCTCGTCAGCTTCTTGCAGAAATGCAGACCATCACCTGAATTTTTAAGATGCCAAATCTCCGGCAATCTGCTGATACACTGGATTAGCGGTACGTTTCAGGCCTAAGAGGTCTCTTTGGAGGTGGCACAGTGACTGACGTGAGCAAGAGAGAGAGAGGAGTCACACTTGAGCCTTTGGATCCACCACTGCTCTGTTGTTGGGCCAATTACCGGCCTAGCTGACGGCCCATAACCTGCGTCTAAAATTCACTCTGGCGGATTCCAGACGCCCAAATAAAACCTCAACACAATATCAAGTGTCTCCCAGAGCTGAAAAGATGCAGTTTTAGCTGGCTCTGCATTCTGTGTCCTTAACTTTTCCTTTTATTTACAAAGGAAATGTTTAAACCATCCCTGCTGTGTCTATGAAATCTTAAATGTGAAAGCCGCTCTTTGAACACAATCCATATTCAGCAATAGGGCTGGAGTACAGGCCTGTAGGGGGGGGGGGGATTGTATTTGGCGGTCTACTTCATAAATTATTTTTAAAAACTGAGGAGGAACCAATTGACATCCGTCAGCGTCTTTGATCTAGTGAGGAAATAATTTTGTCGGCCAATTGGGCTAAATTCCAGAGTAACGGAACTAGGTTTGTGTGTCCTGACTTTGATTAAATAAAATAACTGAAATCTGTAAACCCACAACTGTAGCACTCCTGGGGCTGACCGGGGACGTCCCTGGACCAGCCACACGGGCAGATGTCCTGAAAAGCAGGCGATGATCTGAGCTGGATCGCATTTCTGGAAGAGGCGTCTGGCCTCACAGGGTTTTTTTCCCGCGATCTCGCCGGTCCTGTGGGTCCAGGGGCTGCGTCGTCACGCAGTATGACCCCGTTTGTCTCCACCTTAGAAAACGCTGGTACTAACGCAGTTTTATTTTGAGAAACAGTCGCGATGTTGACTGAGTAAATCGGTGACTTTGAATCAGTGCGGCTGATACGCCCCAAAAGCCTCTGGCAGACAGAAACCCCCTCCTTTCCTGTTCCAACTGATCCAGATAAATGTTAGTGTCCGGTAGGAATCCGTGTGCTTTAGTCAGCCCTACCAATCAGATGATCGTGCGCACAAATCCCCATTCTGGTATTTCTGTGATGGACGCAGATGCTTTAATTCCTCCGAGCATGTGGAAACATGGAAATACTGTAACGGGATGAGTTAAAAGGAGCCGAAGTAATTTTATTTCCTACACGCATTTTGATCTCAATCCACTTGTCTAATTCAACTGGGATTTTCAATGGGAAAAGTTTGGTGTGGGCGACATGACACTCTGAATGGGTAATTAGCAGAAAGTACGACTGATCTCTGGGACGCTGTGCGAATAAAGACATGTTTGTCTCTTTCCCTCTTTGCTCTAGGTCCAATAATTCTACAGAGATTTTTTTATTTTTACTCTGAAAAGTATTATATGTGCTATTTGGCAGTTAGATGCGAGCCGCACACATCTGTTGCAGATATTTACTTCTTCCAGGCTTTCAACGCTTCTGCCTAATTTTCATGTAGAGCATTTTCACCAGCGAGTTGTTGTAGTTTTCCTAAGGGAAATCGAAAAACAATAAGGTGTCCTTCTCTAGCCGCCTGACATTCACGACGCCAAACATCTCCAAACATTAGTCTGCTGTCTATATTTGCGAATTGTTTTCCCGGCATTGGGCTGTGCTGAGCTTGAACGCCAGGTGGTGTGGTGGTTAAGGCACCTGGAAATGTGATCCTTCAGTTTCAGGTGGGTCTCTTTTACCTTTCAGAAAAACACCTACTTGATATGTTATAATAAAACATTGTAAAATACACAGGTGTGCGAAACACTAAAACTCTAAGCTGAGTTAAGTAAGTCTTAATTGAGCGACTCAAAGTATAGGCTGACAGCACTGGAAAAAATTGAGCAGTGCTTACAGGAAACGCCTCCCGAGGTTAGATTTCGCTGTTGGCGTCCCAACATGCGCTCTGCCGGCTTCACGCCCCGCAGACCGAGGCCATCACTGCCGGTCATTAATCAAGACTGATTAGACGTCCCAATTTAAAGCAGTTCTGCCTTGATAAGACTCACCCCGCTGCTTCAAACACGGTTTAGCCAAACCGGCTAAGAGCCGCTGAACTGAATTAAAAGTGGCACAATCAATGAAATGCTGAGATGTTTTAGCTCTGATCCCAGGCTGGCGCGCAATACGCCGGAGGATCGCGCTTCCCTTTGAAGGAGCGCGGTGTTGACAATGCAAAGACCCGGGATCCACTGGGCTTAACCAAACCAGATGTGAATAAAGTCTGCATTACCTGATACTTTGATGGCACCTCAGCGCTTAAGTGTTCATCCCTCCAGACAGTAATACTATTCCTTGGACAATAGAACATGGAAGGTGATTAGCAGTGGTGGATAATCTTTTGCAATCGATGGTTTACTACAGAAAATGCACGGTGGGTTTTTTTCTTTTCTCTTTTTCTTTTCCTGACAAGTGATTTTTATTACCTAGCCTAAATTAGGCCTATGTGTGTTTGGGATGAATGTTCTCCTTGAGGACTTAATGCAGGGGTGTCAAACTCCAGTCCTGGGGCGGGCAGAGCCCTGCACATTTTTGTGTTTCCCCTCGCTTAACACACCTGATTCAACTCCTTGTGCTAA